TGGTGACTTATTTGAAGGAGGGAGATTGGAGACAATAAGTTTTAAACTAGTTCTTACCTCTATCTAAGTGTGAAGCACCAAAGTCCATAAGCGTGATAGTTACTATTGGAATGGAGGAATACTGCTTAACCATTGAAAAGTTGATCCCACAGGATGATTATATATGTCATAAGAAATGATGGGAAGGAAGGAGTTCCAAATAAAGTCAAAGATAAGAGTTTAGGCAAGGGACGAATTCTAGGTTTGTGATGAAATGGAAATTATAAAGTCATCAGGGCCATGGTGTATTACTGGTGGTAATAGTGCACGGGGTGGAATTACCCTATGTACTAAAAAAAGGGAATTGGGGAAAAAAAGGCCAAGGCTAAAATACGGATTTTGGGGTTTTTCTGCACAAGGATCTCAGGATAATTTAGTTGAGTGTGTTACTCAGCTTTGCGTTACTATGACAAAATACCTGGGATATTCCAGCTCATGGTTTCAGAGGTTCCAATCTATAGTCAGTTCGCACTGTTGCTTTTGGGCCTATGGGAATGCAGTATATCTTGACAGAAGTGTGGTGAAGGAAGCTGCTCATGATGGCCAAGCATCAGAGAGAGAGTCTCTCTCAAGGAAGGCTATACCCCTCGAGACCTAAATTTCTCCCACTGGGCCCCACCTCTTTAAAGTTCTAACAACTCCCAGTTGTGCCACAGGTTGGTAAGCACATTTTCAACACCTAGGCTTTGGGGGGATACTTATCCAAATCATAGCAGTGAGTAAAAGAGAATAAGGAATCTTGGGATTGGCAAAAGAATATAAGAAATAGAAATCATCAAAGAGATATGAAAGAAAACTTAAGTGTAGTGAGTGTCACTAGACCTAAAGTTAGGATAGTAAGAAGCATCAAATAGTATGTAGGAAGGAAGGACAAAGACTCAGAAAGGAATATTAGATTTGACAAGTGATCACTGGAGACCACTGAAGACTGGATAAAAAAAGAGCATTGACCACCAAGCCAGATTTCAGAGGGTCAGATAAATAAACAAACAAACAAAAAAAAAACTTTTTCAAGTGAAATTTATTTATTACTGACAATAATATGGAAGAATTGATAAATTTGAAATGCATATGTTGTTTACTGTGAAGTTTCCTTGTCTCTAGTTTCATTGGCATAGGTCTGTTCTCTGTATCAGTGCCTAGTATGTCAGTCTCCTGCTTAAAGACTTCACTGTCAGTGGAAATTCAATATCCCTAGCATAGGAGACAAGATGCTTTACACTCTGATTCTAACCTTCCTCTCTTATTTCATCTTCTCCCACTCATGACACAGGAGATTTCAGATTCTTTCCATGTTGGATCTTCGTACACATTGCTCTCTCTCCCTGGAAATCCTCCCTCCCATCTTTCACATGAAAAATTCTAGCTTGTCCTTCAACACTTGGCTCAAATGTTACCTTGTTATTGGACTTTTTCCTGCCTTCCCAGGCCCAGTGCAGGTCTCCCTCTTTGATGCTTCAACTGTAAGTTGTTCTTTCATATCTTTGTCTTAGCATCCTGAATTGTAATTCATCCATTTCCATAGCTGTGTTCTCCATTAGACTATATAATCTCTGAACACAGGAACTACCTTTTTATTGTTTTGATCTTCACAGCTGACACAAAACAAATTCCTACTAAAATCGTAAGGATTGAGTAAATATTAATGTAAAGGAATATATATTGAGCTATATAAGATGCAAATAAAGATGGAAATTAGTGGAAAAAAGGAAAGTTTTCACCTATGCTATCCCTTTTTAAAAAAATCTGTGATCATTTATAATGCGTGTGATGTGTGAAGCTATGCATCTTCATGTATTCTGCTACAATCATTTTGTACTAGAAAGTGACTTTGGAGTTCAACAGTTTCCACTTCAGATGCAACCTCTGACCTTAAAAATCTCTATGAATTTGAGCAAGTTAATTTTTCTGAACCTGAGTTTCCTATTGGTCAAAAGAGGATAACATTTTCTTACTAGTAGTTTCTCTTTGTTCTTGGATTTGACTTCTTTGATACTTAATCCATTTTCTAAAGGGATGGTTTGTTTGTTTTTTAAAGTTAAATTCTCTGTTTTATGTCATATGCTGAAGCTAGAGTAAAATAAAGGGAAGGGGGAGGGAAGGATAGGATAATATAAGGAACCAATCAAATACAAATTAAAGACTAGTAAAAGGAAGTCTAGTAGAGTCGAGGAAGGAGAATGGGAGAGGGAAGGGAAGACAAGAGGGAAAATGGGAGATCATGAACTGGAATTGATTTCCATGCATTTATGAGTTTGTTGGGATGAATCCAATTACAATATATAACTATAATTCTCTAATAAAAAATTAAATTATGAAATTAGGAAGTATAAACTCCAGTGTATCTTTATTCAGCAGTACTTCTTATACCTAAATGATTCTGTCTGGTTAATAATACCCATTCCTGGCATTAAGCAAATTCAACAAAATTCGAGAATTGTATATGTGGGTTGATTTAATAAGTTCACAATTAAGTCTGGATTATGAAGCTCCACATAACTTCCTGAAAGAGGCCCTTCCTTTGAGGCTTGTTGAGCTGAATGTAAGGACACCCTTTCTGTCTTTATCTGCAGGAGTCTATTGCTTTGAGTGGTTTGGATCATCTCCCCTCAAACCCCCGGCAGAATTTTTGTGGTTAATAAAAACATGTGCTTACAGCTTTTTTTGCATAGATAAAGGAAAGGATTCCACATCAGATTTAGATCAGAGATAGATTTTCAGAAGAAAATGATGGATCTGTCCTCTGGGAACAGCGGAATGCAGCATGTTCTGTCTCTGATTGATTGAGTTTATGGCATTAAAGAACCTTTCCACACCCACACCCATACAGAGATGCAAACAGTGGTCACAACTGCAGATTCAGACATTGCCTCTTCCCTCAGTCTCATTTCCAAAGTGCATCCGTTGTTTTCCATAACATGAAATAAATCCCTCTCTTTTGCCCAGTGGTGAAAAGCTTATATAAATACTAGAACTTCAACTATTCCCTGGAGTTTTCTTTTGGCTAGCCTGCAGCCATGGGTCTGTTTGGATATTGACATGCATTTTCTCTGCAGATCTTTCAGGCCACTTGGGTAAGTCCAGTGGTGATTAATTTACTTGTCTTGAAAATTTATCAGACTAACCATTATAACACTCCATTTATGAAAAAAAAAATGACACCCTGATTGAAAAGACTCCAGGTTTAAAGTATCTCTTTTATTCTTTCAGCATATATCATTCTGATGATATATCTCTCTATATATTTTAGGAATTCTTGGCCAGGAGATTATTTTAACAATTCTTGAAAGAAATACTAATGTGAAGAATTGATTAGAAATAAGACACTTAACCTGAGCCATGATGTTCCTATGAAATTATTTTTAAAAATATTTAGAAATGAAGTATTTCATTGTATACCAAAGAGTTAACATTATTGGGCTGAAATTAAAACATATAATGAAAATTCTTTAGTTATTGTGATTGTAGAGAAAAGGGAAGGCATTGTACAAAAAGGCAAGAATCAATGCTTGGTGTATACAGAAGTTACTCATTATCTAAATATGTGGATAAGATGAATTAATTCCTAGTGAAATATAATACTATCTTCATTAAAAACTTTTTGTTATGTTCTTTTGTAAAAATTGTTGATCAAACATCGTTGTGCATAGAGTAGTCTTAGAGAATACATTAATTTTATTTTTCCTTTTAGTTCTTGTTTTTTTTTTAAATTTATCTATTATTTATCTATCAGTAATGGCGATCACAGAAGTGTCCTCCAAGTACTGATACTGTTTTTGCACATTTTTTTAAAAGATGAAAAAAGTATCTTTTTCTAATTACCTGTGGAGTCTGCCAATCTGAGGCCAATTCTGGCTATGTACAAGAGAAACAGAATTCCATGCATATGAAATATTTTAGCCATAGTTCTGCTGGTCTTTTCATTTTGGGGAAGTATTTTACTTGTTGGCAATAATCCACTTTATCTAGTATTTTAAAAAATTTCTTTAGTTGCCAAGTTTATTAATTACATATAAGTGGTTTGATATTTTAACAATGAGCAATTCTGAAATTCCTTATACATTAGAAATTATGATTGTGTTTTGTTGTCCCTAAGGATCCAAGATTTTCCTTCTGTGTTTATGGCCCTAACAGAGAAGAGGTAAAAAAAAACAAACCACTAAATCTCATTAATAGATTAGCTCCCCTTTTCTTAAGACCTAATAGAGAAAATGAAGAAATATATATGTATTTTCCTGTCTGTGAGGTTCATTTTTAAATTATAGAATTTAAAAAGAGATAAAGAACAGGGATGAATTTGAGTTTTGTTGGCTTTACCTGAAACACAAATCTTTGCATGTCTGTAGTTTTAATTCATAAGTCACAGTTCAAATAAACCAACAGTTAAGACTATTTTTAGGCCAATGATTATGACTTTTAATTCTTGTGTACCTTAAACATAGCTTTCTTTTAAAATACCTATACTTGTTTATTTTTTGTTTTAAAGCATACTTTTGTTTATCAATATCTCTCTACCCTGGTATACTATACATGAGACCTAAAAAAAAAAAAAGAGCAGTCCCACCAGCAGTGTATGAGTATACCTTTTTCCCCACATCCTCACCAACACTTATTGTTGCTTGTCTTCATAATAGCTGCCATTCTCTCAACACCACATTTGGAACTCAATACTGTCTTCCTTACAATCTTTCTTTTCCAATGGACTCTGTCAGAAAATACACAGGGATAAAATTAAGAGAAATTACGTATCTAATGGAGTATTTTTAAACCCTGGGACCTGGGTGACCACTCAAGTCATTTCATATAGACAATTTTCTCTCAAAACTTGGCTTAAAGAAAGCCTAAGCAACACATACTTGTCACTATCGGTTACTGTGAAAGAGAGCCATATGAGGAAAGAAGTTGTGTTGCATTCTGTAGATTGTAAAAAAAAAAAAAATGCATCTTTTCTTTGTTCCTAGGTTTGAAGAAGAAATGACCACTAAGTGGTTATATTTCTTTGAAGGCAGCGGGGTCCCATATGGCCCAATCAACAATATGAAGGGTGTATTTACAGAACCTCAGGTTTGTTTTTTGAAGTCTTTGGTTGCTTCTCTTTCCTATCCAGATTGATATCAAAAGGTAGTCATTGATCTTAAGTCACATAATATGATGTTTCACTGTTATGTTCAAATTGTTTGTGGGTTTGGGATAAAATAAAAATAAAAAGTATGATTGTAGAACTGGCTGTCTACAATCATACTTGTGTCTGTTGGGTATAACATATTTCATTATCAGCCGTTCCATAAAATTCTCAAGGTGAAAGCTTTTATTTTTTTCTGAAAATTAGAAATATAGACAATTGAAAAGTTGGAATCAGGATTTCAGAGATTTTTTTTTTGTAGAAAGAAATATGAGAAATTTTACAGTTATAGCCTACTTCTAATCACCACATAGCTGTCTTAAAATATACAAAACAAGTCATATTTAGTTTTGCAAATTAGAAGCTTTCATATGTTTTGATTAATGTGTCTTTTTTTGTGGGGCAAGAATTATACTTTAAGTTTTGTACTATATATTGCTTAATAGGTTCTTCTTGGGGCACAGGAAGAAGGGTAACCACCCAAAAATATTTTTTATAACATTGTTCAAGTGGATTATTTTTATATGTCAAAAATATCTAAAGGTGAATCAGGGTATCACCTTTCCCTTATGCTTATTGCTACTTGACCAATAGAACGATAAGCAATGTACCATGTCTCAAATTCACATATTAACCCTAAAATGTAGAGGACCTCCATTTTTCTGTGAATATTTTATTATGATGTTTCACATATCTTGACAGTTTCCAACATTTCAAAATCGTAGGAATTTTTTTCTGTTGGTACTTCATATAGTAGCAGGTTTTTGTTTGAAATGAATTACTGAAAATGAAATATCCATTTTCTGAGGAAGAAGATCTTTGTTGGGAAACTGATCTCTTTAACATTGGTACATTTTTCTTGCATAAATGTTTGCTTAAAAGGAAATTAGAGTGTATTTAATTCAGTAATTACAATATTTACTGGAGAAGAAAGGCTAGAGAATTCAGAAATGCTATCTTTTTTTTTGCCCCAGTGAAGAGTTTTATTCACAATAAAACAATGGTCAATATGTATTGGAGATAAGAGGCCCACTTGGTATATACTGTGTAAATTCATCTGAAAGGAACCCCAAAATTCAGTGGATTAATGTCTGGTGATTCCTTGGTTTCCACACCTGAATATAGGCCAAGTACCTGGTTTCTTTAATTCAAAACTGAGAATCAGCCATCTCATTTTAAGCTGTGGTATTTTAGAGGTGTGTAGGACTTCATATTTGTCTCAATTTGAGGTCATATTTCACAAGAGATATTTCCTGAAAGTTTTCCCATCAGCATTTCTGTTGTTTCATCTGTGTTTTATCAGGGATAAACAAAGAAAATCAAAGAGTTATTCTTAAATATCAGTAGGTATATTCTTAATTTTCTGGGTTTGTTAAGGTTATGATATACAAAGATACAAAGTCTTATTAGTTTTAAATTGTTCACATAATTATGGGCTGGTTCAGAGTGGATATAGGCTAAATAGAATTTTTATATCTGATTTCCCCTTTTAATTCAGCTTAATTAATACAAGGGAAATTTAATTAATTTGTTATCTTTGTATCTCAACTGCTTTGGACCTGCAAAGTATCTATTTTTGGTCTATGTCATGGTGTCATATTTTTAGTACTTAGCCTACTTACCAAATGGAGAAGATTGATATTATGTAAATCAAGATACCAGATTTCCATGTTATCCTCAAAATTTCGAAACTGACCTCTTACCCCCATCAAAAAGTGGATCCTAATTATTACAGTTCTAACGTAAAAATACTTAACCATACCATGATGTTTATTGATAATTGAAACCCAGTAGCAAGGGTTCTCTTTCATACATAATTTCACTCTTCATTTGTAATTTTAAGTAAAAAAATATATGTCTGTAATTTATTGGATTTTTAGAAAGACTAGAGAGTAATGTACTAATATTACATTTTAAAAATAAGCCAAGATTACTATGGAAATTGTAAGTATTCTAGTTATGTTTTGCACGAGAATCAGGGTTATCACCTTTCCCTTATGCTTAGAACTGTTTGTCCCTTTTCAAAAAGACTTCTATAATATTTTGCATTGTGTAATGTGGAAAAATCAAAAAAAACTTGAATGAAGTATATTATTCAAAAGCACCTTAAAGTGACATCTATGAATGACAATTTAGAAAATTCTTTCATTTATTCAATAAACTTTTATTATATTTATTAGGTGAATTAGTAAGGATTTAGTATGAATTTAGTATTCTATGCCTTTCTGAAAAATAAACTCAAAATTTACTTCAATAGCATGCATACAATAAATGTTCATGTATATGTAAATAAACAAATGAATAAGTTGTTAATTGTGGAAAGTCTAGGTTTTCCAGGGCTGGGGATGTGCCTCAAGCGGTAGCACGCTCGCCTGCCTGGCATGCGCGGGGCGCTGGGTTCGATCCTCAGCACCACATAAAAATAAAATAAAGATGTAGTGTCCACCAAAGACTAAAAAATAAACATTAAAAAATTCTCTCTCTCTCTCTTTAAAAAAAAAAGAAAGTGTAGGTTTTCCAAATGATCAGATGGTTCCTGTACCCTAGCACTAATGAGCATTATCTTTAGCACTAGTTGAATTGCTCTTGATGATTTCAGGGGACTGATGGTTGTTAGGGTTTGGGTTAAGATGATGGTTAACATCATATTTTCAAATTTGGTGGACAGTTTTATAACTTTGCAGGCTTTAGTTTTCTTAACTGTTATATGGTATAATAGGATCTTATCTCTCCAATGTTGAAAGTGTTAAATGAGATGTTAATTAAGGGAATAGTACAGGGATTGACAAATGCTAAATGCTCAATGCATGGTAGTGGCTCTCATTGTAATGGTGCCCTTGATGATTATATTCTTATTAAAACACCTTCTTTTAAAATACCTGTTTTAGTGAACAGTGGTACATTCAGTGCTGCCACAAGTATGGGGATCATTAACTTAGAATCGCAATCTACTACCCTTTTATGAAAACGTATCTGCAAATGATATGCCAAGAGTTCCCAACCCTTCATTATTTCTGATTGCTGACAACCCTCTTATTTTTCATTTTCCATAAAAGTGTTTTGTTTTTTTTTTAAGTTTGATTTCCGTTTGAGGTGTCCAAGGGAGCTTTCACTCTGATGAGCAGCAGTTTCTTGGCCCTAGGTACAGGGAACTAGCCACTTGTGTTCAATGTGGGAATGCACCACTGGCTTAGTGGCCCACCTCTCCGTGTGTGCTGTGCCAGCACAGCTGCTCATTTGACTGAAAATTACTTTGGGTGAAGTACAAGGCTTGGAACATGGCGCAGGAAGGAAAGCTTTGATGAAGTGAAAAGGGGTAGGTCCAACCAGGGAAAGAAAAAAAAAAAAGGAAAAGATTGGGAACCTCAAGGAATAGAAGAGAATTTTGTATGCTTCTTATTCAATGGACCATGTATGTTTCTCATCTGTGGCTTGAAAATCTTGGTTGACAACAAAAATGTACTTGATGGTAGAAACTATATCTAACCTAACAAATTCATCATAGTTCATATTCCAAGAAGATTTCATTTTTTTACTCAATTGAAATGGGAGATGATATGTTTTATCTTGGATAGTTGGAAGATTGTCTACCTTTTATCTTATGATAAAGTGCTGTAGACCTTGGCACAGTAAAAATGATGTTATGGTTGTCCATGGTTAAGTCAATCAAAACTACTGTGGGGGCATTTGTCTGCATTTACTGATATTTCTGACAAGTTTTGACTAAAAATTCTTAAAGTGGTAGTTTTATTGTTTTTCTCCCTCAATGACAAATTATCTATGGAAAACTCTGTGCATTATAGAGCATAATATAGGTTATCTGCATATAGATTTTAATAGCCAGTCATTTTTTCAAGTACTTTCTTAAAATATCTTCTTCTAATCAGGCCAAGATTGTGCAGTACATTAAAGGAATTCTTAAAAAGTTTCAAAAACTTACTAGATGACCTCAGTATGGTCCTATTTAACATACCCTTGGGAACATGTGCATGAAATACATTGTGGTTTGAGGGTTTCCAACCCAAACAAACTTAAAAGAAAATGCAGCTTTTAATAGAAACTATTCAAATTCCTGCAAAAATAGGTATGGATGTCACCATTGAAAGGGCTTAAAAGCATCATTATCTACAATGAACATCAAAAGAGAACACACCATCCTGCTTTCAGAATTTTGCTTAAGATTGTATATTTAGTTATTCTCATGTATCATCTTCTTTGGTTGAACTGCTAAGTTAAAAAATATGAATTATGTATTATTGGAACTTCTGATTAGTGTTTTTTTTTTCCTTGATGCCATGACCTGAGAGTAGGGAAGAAGGGCAAAAGGTATCCTAAAACTGGTGTTGTTTAACAGTCTTCCCATTTGTACCACACAAGTTGAATATATCAGGTGTAAAACATCACTCTGAAGCATCACTTCTGAGAACCATTGGGAGGGAAATATCAAAATTATTGAAATATCACAGCTGGCCCCGATTTTAACTGGTGCCAAACACCTGCAGGCTCTAAAAGGACACCAAAACAAAACCCCGCCCTGTGGCAGCAAGCCATCCCTAACAACCCTTCCTTAACTTTGCATCACCATCAAAACTAATTTAACATTTTCTACAGAAACTCTATTCTTCCTGTCCCTGAAGGCCATTACAACTCCTTTTGCAAATATTTCGTATGGGATAAATATGTCATAGTAACAGAGTGAAGTATTGAAATATTTGATGGCTGAAAATTATCTGTTGTTTTCATCTCATTATTTGTGGAAGTCTGTGAAGTTGGAGATTTTATTAATCTCTGAGCTAGCTCATATTCTCTAAGTGATTTTTTTAGCACATTTTGGCAAAATATCTGAGCATCTGGGGGAAAAAAGGCCTTCAATATTCATGTCACAAAGTGTCAAAAGCACCCCCAAATACAGAGCTGGTTTTTAGTCCTTTCTGTTACTACT